ATAAGTCAAATAGTGACACAGCAAATAAATGCAATCCTTCACAATTTTAAGCGTTAAATGTGTATAATTTTGATTAGCACAGTTTCAAAGCCAGAATCTGAAGATATACATTAAAAGATTCAATACCTTATATGTTATGAATTAAAAATTTTTCATATTGGTAAGATCTGATTAACTTATCATAAAATTACTATATCAAAGAAACAATCCGTCATTGCGTTACTTGGATTAGTATATTCTCTTTTAAGCTATATGCCTCCCGACATATCTAAACCGTTTTTTGCTAATTTTAATATTTATTTACTAATGCTAACTTTATATACTTGACATCACCCAATTTATAGTTTGTTAACTGATTCGTGTTCGTTCCAGCTAGTTTGTGTTCCTATCAGCTGTCTTGTTCTCGTCTCATATTAATATGTTTCTAGTAAAGGTAATGAAAAATATAAATATTTATCTATATATAAATAAAATGCTTATCATGATCAGTACAGATATACATTTTTTAATAACGTTCATTCTGCTTAACGTAATATAAAAATAATTGTATACATTAAAATATAAGATGTAATAGAGACACATCCGAATGATTAATTAACTGCAAGTGAAGTGGAGGTATACACTATGTCATACTATCACATCCTTACAGGTCTGAAAGTTAAGTAAAATAAATGTTCTTAAATATGTATATAGGCACAGCTCCTGGTGCTACTATATTAGATACGAAATATTTACTTAAAATATTGAATTATGTCCAGTAATAATTAATATGGATTCCTCGTTATATATTTATTATTAAATATATTCAAATAGATGCATCCGAAGAATTTATCAATACAACTAAAAATTCATCGACTAATAGAAGATCTTTGGAACTACTTAACGAATTTGGCTATGATAGGCTAGATTCATCGGCAAAAAATCAAAATCATTCAACGATAAATGATACATTTCAATCGCTTAATACTAACTGTCCAGATTCCACTCATGGATTCGATTCCAGTTATACTCCGGATATAACTAACCAGTCCAGCATTTTAAATAATTCAACCAATAAACAAGTTTTTACTTACACAACTGAAACTCCACTAAGTGATGTCAGGGATTTGATTATTCAAACTGCGAAAACCCAAAAAAATTGTAAGAAACATTTTTGCTTATTTTGCAATAAGTTGCAAACAAAATTCGCTCGTCACTTGCAGCTTGTTCATAAAAATGAGCCGCAAGTACAAAAATTCATATGCCTGCCGAAAAATGACAAAACTCGGAGATTACTTATTGATGAAATTAGAAAAAATGGTGATTATATCCATAATATCGATGCATCGTTAAATAATGGAACTCTAATCGTGCCCCGTCAAAAGCGAGTTAATTCTAAAAATGAAGTTGTTGATTTCATATGTTGCAAGGGATGTTCTGGATTTTTTCCCAAAAGCACAATACGAAGTCATATTAATAATTGCAAAGGCAGCGATCATAAGAAAGGAACTCGTGACTTGCTTAAACAAGGTCGCTCCAAAACCGGCTTTATGCATAAAAGTGCAAACGACGTTGTGCGCACAAAAATAATGCCTGTTTTAAATGATGATCCAATTTCTCGGAATCTGATATATGATGAATTGATTGTTTTATTCGCAAACGCAGAATCTATGAAGCACGGCGAACTTCAGTACGATATGATCAGAGCAAACATGAGATTGCTAAGCAGACTATTATGTGAAATAAAAAAATCTGAACCCAATGAGATACAGGAACTTAAAGACGCCATTAATCCCAAACATTTGGATTTAATGATATCTTGTATCAGAAAAGTGGCTCAGTGGGACTCTTCTTTGTTGTTTTTTAAAACACCTTCAGTCGCAACGAACCTTACAACTTTAATTAAAAAGTGCGCAAAAATATTATGGACTCATTGCATAAAAACACAAAATCATGAAAAAAAAAAAATAATTAAAGATTTTCTTGTTCTATGGGAAACCGAAATCCCTCTTTTTATAAACAAAAAAGCTATAGAAGATCAGTCAAAGAAAAAGAGAGCTCTACCAACTATCTTACCATGTAAAGAAGACATCAAAAAACTTTTTGATTATGTGATAAAAAAGTCTGAAAATTCTCTTAGTGTGCTGAAAATTAAGTTTGATTTTTTGTCATGGACATCGTTAATACAAAGCACACTAATTGGCCTTCAAATTTTTAACCGCCGTAGAGCTGGTGAAATTGAAAGACTAACAATTGAGAACTATCTAACAGGCCACGCCATCGATGAAAATGTGGATAAAGAAAACTTCGACCGTCTCACGAAAGAAACTAGAGAAATTGCTCAAAAATACACAAGGTTGACTATCCGTGGAAAACTAAATCGAACTGTGCCAGTGCTGCTCACACCGTTTGACAAGTATTGTATTGAAACTATTCTTAAATATCGTAAAAGAGCTGGTGTTAAGAAAAATAATGATTACATATTTAGCGTGCCTAACGCCAAGCCTTTAGCAAAGCAGTATGTACGGGCTTGCCCCATTCTAAAAAGATTTGCCCTGGAGTGTGGGGCTCGCTGCCCAGGGGCCTTAAGGGGAACGATGCTTCGAAAGCATTTAGCTACCTATACATCGATGCTTAACGTCGAAGATGTCCAAATTGATAGGCTTGCCAATTTTATGGGTCATCATAAAGATATACACAAAGAAATCTACAGAATCCCTGTAACAGTAGCGGAGATTGCCGAAGTATCCCAGATGCTTATGGCAGCTCTTGGAAATAATGTTGAGGATGAAAACACAGTAGCCCTTGATCAGTTAAAAGAAAGTGAGTAAATATATTCATCAAGGTTGTGAGTGATACTAAGTGTAGTTATTGTGTAGAATATAATATTTTAACTTATCTAATAATTACTTATCCAATAAGCCCTATTGTCAATGTTTTTACATTATACTTAAAATGTATTTTGCAGATGATCCTTTAGAGGATTCGGAATCAGATTATTCTGAACAGCGATCAGAAAGCGAATTTAATATTTCCGATGATGAAATTGTAGAAAAATCCAATGCAAAAGGAAAGCGTCCAAGTAGTGAGTATTGAATTGCAACCTACATATTTTTGTCACGTGCTTACATGCATTGCGATTAGTCTGTCCTATTTATCCTCATTCGCAAAGTGAAAAAATATATCGTGCTTATTTTGCGGGCCCATTGAAGTTAGAAACTTTGGGCTTGAAATATATACACGTATATATCCACGATAGGTAAAGTGCTACAATTATATAATGACGACCACTGGGGGCGTTGTAAATCCTAAAAATCGTTTTAAATTGCACAATCGCAAATCTTACAGAATCTTAGAGCTTGACTAACTTTTTCATGAATACTATTGATGGACTACTCTGAAGATCGATAAAAATTAGTTTGCCTACGATTGACTGGGTGCGTGGCGAATGTTTAAAATTGATATCACCTAATAAATTGTTCTGGTAGGCTGTATTAATCTGTTATTGGTCTATGATTGAGTATTGCGACGGTTGCAACCGACTGCAAAGTTTTTAATATTTTTCTATATTACTAAAACGTTATTCTTTTTCACACTAAATTGTATTAAACTCTATTATTTAACAGGATCATCATTTGGAAAAACGATAAGAAACCGGTGGTCGAATGAAGAGCGTGAAGAAATATACCAGGCTTTTGGCGACCTGTTGTCGCTTAAAGGATTGCCGTCACTTAATCAATGCAACACAGTTATAAATAATTCTACATATCTAAAATGTAGGACACCGGCGCAAGTAAAAACATGGATAGATAATCAGCGCAAGGCTAAATCAAGGAACTCCGCAAATAGATTAAATAATAAATATGTTGACCATATTTAAAATAAGTGGATTATACTTTTTCGTATATTAATATTAATTTATGTTAAAAAATTTTGGAATTAAAAAAAAATTCATTTTAAATGCATGTATTTAATAACGTCATTTATGTTAATTCACATTATTAATTTTACTTTAACCTAAAGTGATCCAAAACTACATTCAAAATAAATTTGACTCTTAATTTCAATTAAGCCAGTCTGCCACTAAATTTAAAATGTATAAATTTAATAAAATATTGCTGAGTCTTATGTGGTTTCGCGTTATATTTATTTAGTTTAGTGAGTTTTATCGAAATTCACTGTTCCCTAGTCCTCATAACCTCTATATATGAGTCTCTATATTTATATAAAATCAGTATGTTTTTGGGGACAGCTATTTGACTGTTATTTACTAAATTGAAGTGTGAACTGGACCAAATCTCATCGTTCCTGTGTCCTTATAATACACGTTGCGTTTTTGTCCCTAAAACTTACCTTATATATAAAGTACATTATAACGAACAATTTTTGTGTTATATACTGAGAGTATTTCGGGAACTGAGTCCCCATAAAACACGTTACCCTAAATGGAGTTTGTTTCATTTCATTTTCATTTCGTAGAGTTGCCACATCGACCAAATGAGGATATATACATATTAGTAAAAAACATATATTATGGGAGAACTAGCGTACGAATTGTGTTTTGTTCTTTTTTAATGATCAAATGCATGCAAAATAAACCTAATCAGATTACATCATAGTTATGCAGATGTCAGCAAACGCATTTAAAATCTGTGTTCCCGAAAAATCTTCTCGCCATAAAGTGGACCAACTTTAAGATAATATAAAAATTATAGTATTTGAGGTACAGGCAAAGTGCTGGTTGGATAATGTTAAGAAAAGGTATTGTTATTTTTATTAACCCTTAGGTTTCTTCTAAGAACTAAGAATTATGAAGAATTATGAAAAGTCCCCAAAAGAGACATTCCAGTCCTAAAAATTTTAAGGTCAGTCCCCAAAAGAGCGAATTGTCCCCATAACCAACGCAGCATACAAAAAATGTCCTTATTATCGATGCTCCACATATATATATATATATATATATATATATATAGCCATTACTTCAAGTTCGATTGCTTACATTCAATTTTGAAAATTTTTAGGTTTTGTTTCATTTGATAACCCCACCAGCGCTCAAGCAGCCATTCAGGCCATGAATGGCTTCCAGATTGGCATGAAAAGACTGAAAGTTCAATTGAAGCGGCCAAAGGATGCCAGTCGACCTTATTAACAATCGGAGTTCCTTAAGCGTAACTTACTTCAACAACAACAACAACAACAACTGCAACAACAACAACTGCAACAACAGCAACTGCAACAACAACATCTGCAACAACAACTGCAACAACAACAAATGCAACAACAACAAATGCAACAACAACAACTGCAACAACATCATCTGCAACAACAGCAACAACAATTGCAACTACAGTTTCAGCTGCAGCATCAACAACAACATCACCATGCGACAGCAGCCATGACAACAACTTCACCAGCTACAGCTACAACAACGTCTGCAAACAACCTCAGCAACAATTTTAGGCCACAATTAACCAATGATCGTAATACAAATCGTAATACAATGCCCTATACATTTGCCAGCTGGCGCAACGGCACCTATTGTTATCGCTATAGCACCAACAGCAGCGGCAATAGCAACAATAGCAACATCATCAGCAACAACCACAATAATAACCACAACAACAGCAACATTAGCATGAACAACAATAGCAGCAGCAACAACATGAACAGCAGCGACAACAATTCCTGCTCTAATGAAAATAATAACTATTCCAAAGTTGAACTGGTCGAAAAGCTGTTCATGTGGCAACAACAAAAGCGAAAAGCTTAGCAACAAGAACAAAAAAAAACAACCACAACAACAACAGCATGGATCAACTTTTAATGGGGTGAGCTCAAAGCACACACGAACTTTACATTTCATTTATAAATACATTTCTATTTATTTCTATTATAATCAATTCAATCAGAATCTTGTTAGATGTAATGCCAAGAGTATGACACTACATGGTTTACCTTTGTTTTTTTCTTAGGTTTCGTAACAAGTTGCTAGAATTAACATTTTAACCTTTCACATTTCAGATGGACTTTGGCAATGAATTTCCACACGCTATGTGAAGCAAAGCCCCTGCAAAAAAAAAAATAATAATAATTATAAAGATATACAAAAATCCATATGGAGAATAAAAAACAATTACAAAATAGCAAACAGAAAATGTAAAAAAAAAAGTAAGTCAGTGCAGAACAAAATTATTTATTGATATGATAGATATTTATGTATATGTATATATACATATGTATTTATACGGGCAGCTGAAAGCAGTACTTAAAAAATAGAAAAGAAAAACACAAAACAATTTTTTGCCAAAATGACGATTATATGTATACATATGTACATAAATATATATCGACATGCATATATATATTTATAGAGCAAGCAACAAACATTGATATTGATAGTTTTGTTAACTACAAAAGAGCAAACATCAACTGCACACTTACACACACTCAGCCACACACAACAAAAACACACAACAAACTTGAGACAAAAACTGACTGGTAAGAGACCAAAATTATCTGGGTTTTCAATAAAAACAAAAATATATATGAAATAATAATCTAAAACAAAACAAAAAGCGCAGCAACCATTTTTTATACAACATATAAAAATTGGTCTATGGAATTTATTGAAATCTAAAAAACCTGAGAGAAAATAATTTCACACGCTGCTTAAAAAAAAAAAACACAAAAAAAAACAAGAAAAATACAAACAAAAAAAATAAAAAAACAAAACTGAATCTGTTAATTGGAGAATGACAAAAACCTTTGCATATGAGTTGGCAGTTAGAGGAAAAGTTAATGATGGAGCGCAGCAGGATAATGAATGGTATGTAGCTCTGCAACTTTTTAGCATTTAGTACTAAGCAAAATGGCAAAGGATTATATTATACATAAACCTATATAGCATATGCATATGTATGTGCATATACATGTGTGTATAAATAAAAATTAACACAAAAATTCGAATTTAATTAATTTTAAGGACATAAAAGTTAGCACTAGGTGAAAGCAGCAAGCAAATTAATATGCGATATGCTTTGAGAGAAGTACTGTTAAGTCCAAATTAAAGAACCACAAAAGGTTTTTGCGTAGCCTGCAACAAACAAGCAAAAATATCATTTTTTATTATATGTAAATGGAGAAAAAATAATAATTAAAATATAATAATGAATTTGTTAGAACTACATATTAAAAAGATGAATACCTACAAAATAATTGTGAGCAAATTAAATGCTGTCATTTTTGTTGCCCAAAAATCAAAGCATGTTGGCAAATTATTTTCAATTTCTAAGAAAACACTTTCAGTTAGGCAAAGGCAACTAGAAACAAAAATCGTAAACGATTTTATAGCATTAAAATATATTACAAATATGAAATCAAACAAACTTTACACTTAAACTTAGCTGCTTGCAACAAAAACAAATACAGGTACTTACAAATATACAACAAATATATATATATATATATATATATATATAAGTATGTATACATATATATTTGTATATATATATAACAAAATAATGTTGAAAACAGGTGTATAAAAATATATATGTATATATATTTATATACACTCATGTATATATGAGCAAAGGTAAAGGCTACAACAGAATCATTTGCTACGGTACATATATATATATATATATATATGTACGTATGTATGTATATGTATATACAACAGACAATTGAAAATGTTGGCTACTTATTTTCACAAGCTCCGATTCACCCCGATTAACTAAAGCTTACTAACAAGAATGAAGTTGACCATAGCGCGGCCTATCCCTGTTAAAAGAAAAAAAACTATGCTAACTCATGAAAAACCACAAAATTGACACATTATAAAACAATTACGAAATAAATGCATAAATTATTATTGATGATGATATATACACACACATATATATAAACTAAATTTAGAATTTTTTATATAAAAAGAAAAAAATTTTTAGCAAAACTAGAAAATTGAACACTGAAATTTGTATATTTAATAATTTATGCCTTTTATTTAACACACTACTGAACATACTTTTATTCACACACAAACACACACACACACACAGACACAGACATGCATGCAAGCAAATCTAACTTAATACATTTGTCACATGCTAAAAAACGAAAAAAATCCAAGATTTACTCAACTGGAATCTGTTGAACCAACTCATTAAACATTTTGACTTTATCTTGAAAAGTTAGCAGAAAAGAAGAAGTATCTGTACAAAATGAAGTTAAAGATTGTCAAATCTACAGCTAAATATGCCAAAAATGAACATAAGAGAGAAGTAAAAATTAAAAAAAAAAAATTAATAATTAAAATGTAACAATTATTTAGAGTTTGTATAGTGTAAAAGAAAAAAATACGTTTAGCGCCTAGTCTGTGGGTTTGCAACACAACTCACGACACATATTTGATACTAATGATAAAAACAATTAATTATTAAATAATAAATATATATAAATATATATATATACATATATATATATATATTAAAATATAAAAGAGGATTTAAGCATACAACAAATTGTTATAAAAGTTAAAGTTAGTTTTGTTACCAGTGCAATATATACTTTTTGTGCAAATACTTTACTTAACTTTTGAGTTCAAAATATGTATCAATAGTTTTGGTTTTTCACATTTCCCTCTCACCATCCCCTTCAAAAAAATACACAAGAAAATAAAAACATTGCCAGTTAGCCGGAAAGATATGGACAGTATTAAATAGCTTGCGGTTTGGCCAAGATAGTTATATTGAGTGGCCCCATACATAGAAGTATTTGCTAATGGTGCCTAGCTTAATTACCCTCGAATTCCTTTTTGGTTTGCAACCGTCTTTTCAAAACAAATAAAATAGAATAAAGAAAACAAACTATTACTAAAAGTATTCAGTTTTGATCAAATTGTTTTACCAAATGTTACGCCTAATATCTTGTAAATATAAACAACACTTGAAGGCGGAGGAAAGTCCCCCTAAAATGCAATGAAAAATAGCATGGAAATGCAAGCCGCAACAAAATGCATTATATACAAAAAATACTTACATATAACTATATACATACATACATACTTAAATTTAAATGCATAATTATTATCAATTGGGTTTAGCGACTATTCCGTAGTTAAACAAGTTGAAAAACTGCATTGCCCCAATTCTTACAGCTTCAAAATGCTAATCTAGATTTTTACTAGAGCAACACACATTCAGACACACAGACACACACAGACACACAGGCACACACACGCTCATTCACACTCTTACTATATGTATTTACGATCTTGTATGAATCAATCTAGTCAAATTCAAGTTAATTATTGCATAAAAACTTAAAACAAAATAATAAAAAAAAAACAACCTAATACAGAGTCAAACTATTAAGATAATAAAAAGTAATTATTATTATGTATTATGAATTATTATCATTACAATTATGATGCATTATGATTTTGTATTGAAAATACGAACACGTATTTAAACTAATTATATAAAAACAAATTATTATTATTATTCTATGCTATTATACAAAACGTTTTAGACTATATACACAATATTTAAATAAAAATAATAATAATAAAAAAGAACTTAGTGCAAAAAACTGATTTTGGCAAAATTATGCAAATTATATATCAAAAATGAAAGAGAAAACGAAAACATAAACACAAATATACTAAAACTTAAATTATCATACATATTATTATTTCTAATACGTAACACGGTGAACTAAATCAAGAAGAAGCAGAACAAATAAAAGCGATAAACAAATTGAGAATTACAAAATACCAAAGAAAACTTGTTTTATTTTCATTAATTATTTTTCAAGTGTGATGATGTGGCTTGTGAATTGGCAAAGCTTTGAGCTAACTGAACGGACCTACAGAACTATGGACAGAAAATTTGGCACATTTAACCCATATCACTTTCTATAACCAAATTTGTTATAATTTCATCGCATTTATAAACTTGAAAACAAAAGAAAAACATAATAAGGGCTGTGACTTGAACGTTAAAAAAAAAAATCAAATAAATTGTTTGACTTTTTTGTTTATCCTTAGTTCATAAATCAGCTAGTTTTGCTTAAAATAACGAAATATTACAAAATATTACGTTTTAGTTTTCAAAAGCGGTGATAACAAGCAACCAAAAAGCCAAATCAAAATTAATGCATACAAGATACATAAAAAATAAAAATAAACAAAAAAAAAAAAAAAACAAAAAAACAAAATAATCAATAACAAATAAATA